AAAGTCCATAGCTAACATCATAATCCATGGGGAAAAACTTAAAGCATTTTTTCTAAGATCCAGTACAAGACAAAGATGTCTGGTCTAGCCACATATAGTCATTATTTTTTTAAAAAATTAAACAATACAGAAATATAAAGACTAAAAGGTAAAAGAACCATCACCCCCACCAATGACATTTCCTTCCCCAGAGGTATGGCAATATCCTTCTAGAGCTTTGTCTGTACTTAATCACACACACACACACAAGCTGACTAGGTCACACTATATATACTGTTCTGCATCTTGCTTTTGTCACAAAGCAGTTTACAAATCGCACAGTATTACATTAAATTCTAATAGCTTTTAATTAATTAATCATTCTTGAATTTTCACAGTACATGATCACAGTATCTGCCATTATGTAGAAAAAACAAAACTTAATTTTATTATATTTTTGCAACAGTTAGAGTATCCCGAACAATATTAAATGATTAAGGTGACAGAAGAAAACCTATGTCCCTAACTTTAACAATAATGTCTTTAATGTAAATTTTTTAAAAGATTTATTTATTTATTTTTAGAAAGAGGGGAAGGGAAGGAGAAAGAGAGGAAGAGAAACATCAACGTGTGGTTGCCTCTCACACGCCCACTACTGGGGATCCAGCCTGCAACCCAAGCATGTGCCCTGACTGGGAATCAAACCAGCAACACTTTTGTTGGCAGGCTGGTACTCAATCCACTGAGCCACACCAGCCGGGGCTCTTTACTGTAAATTTTAATGTTATCTGTAGGGTTCAGATTTTATTTATTATGTTAAGAAAGTGATTTGCACACTAGCTATTTTTAATCAGAATGAATATGGAATTTTTCAATGCCATGTTGGCATCTACTGCAATGATAACAAGACTTTTCTCTTGAGACATATTGATAGAATTAATTTTATTAATAGATTTCTAATATAAAGCCATTTTTGTATTTATGGTTCTGGAAGATGATTTGTTTTAATAGTGTACTAAATAAAATCTGGTAATATTTTCATTAAGATTTTCATACATGAGATCGTGATTGACCTGATTTTTTTCTTTTTATTCCTTGTCAATTAGTTGATTTGTGAGGCTCTGCTTTCAGCTTATTTCCAAACATCCTTTTAATTCTCAAGAGTACAGAACAAACTGGTTCGATGTGCATCGCATCAGTTTCCTCTTCCTGGGAACACAGCGGAACTGCATTGCCAGCCCCTTGCATGTGGCTGGTTCCCACCAAAGGCCAGGGCACAAGAGTGGTGATGAGTTTGTTCAGAGAAGAAGGGCTTTTTTTTTTTTCCCTCTTTCTCTCTTTCCCTTCCACAGCGACCACGGAGCTCATGGAGCTATAAGATGGGAAAGGCTTAGACCCTTCATTGCTTGGGAAAAAAATCTCCCAGGAGAACCACCCCAAGAGGAAAATCCACATTGGCACTTGTTAAGGTATTGAGGCTTCAGATTGTTTGTTACAGCAACTAATACAATACAATACCATCTTGAAGCATAGTTATATGCCACATAACTACATTTTGGTTAAGGATAGACCATCTATGTAACAGTGGTCCCTTAAGATTATACAGTGAATGGTTCAGCAGGAGCTTTGTCAGACTTCCCCAGCTCCTTAAAAGGTTTGAAAACATAGACCCCAACATTGAAAGGTTTTCATTAACAGAGAGGACTGTTCATGCATTATCTGCTTGTAAGCAAATCTATGATGGAAAACAAAGAAACAAACCAAGCAAAGCACCATGGACATATTGCTGAAAAGAAGGATACCCCCTCAAAAAGAGCCTCAGGCAGGTCCTTCAGGGGCTGTTGCAGGGGAAGCTCCGCTGTTGCAGGAGACGCCAGCGGCGCTCAGCCCCTGCAGAGCTTCCTGGAGGGTCCGGGTGTGGAGGTGGAAGGCACTCGCGTTGATGATCATGGGAGATCCAAGCTAATGTGTGGGTTTGTTTTTTAATATTTTAAAAGTAAAAAAAAAGTTTAAGTAGAAGAAAAGCCTATAGAAAATGAATATAAAGAAGGAAAACACTTTTGCATAGCTGCACAACGTGTTTGTGTTTTAAGCTACGCATAATTACAAGAGTTGAAAAGTTAAAAAAAGTAAAGGTTATAAAGTAAAAATTTTACAGTAAGCTAAGGTTAATTTATCATTGAAGAAAGAAAAAATATTTTTAGAGGTTAAGTGCAGTCTAAGTGTGCAGTGCTTATAAAGGCTACAGCCGCGTACGCGGTGCTGGGACTCACTGCTCCCTCGCTGACTCGCCCTGAGCAACATCCATTCTGCAAGCTCCATTCGTGGCAGGTACCCTGACAGGTGTACTGTTTGTCATCTTTTCTATCATATTTTTACTATGCCTTTGCTATGTTTAGATATGTCTAGATACACTAATATCATTGTGTTGCAAGTGCCTAAAATATTCTTTTCAGAAACATACTGTGCAGGTTTGTAGCCTGGGACAACAGGCTATACTATGTAGGTATTATGTAGGTGTGTAGTAGGCTATACTATCTAGGTTTGCATTCACACACTATGATGTTGGCACAATGACAGAATTGCCTAACGATGCATTTCTCATAACATACCCCCATCATTAAGTGACACAGGACTGCATCTCATGTAATTTGCCTGCATGATTCCACTTACGTGAAATGTAAGGCATATAGGGAATGGAACGTAACATAGATAAAAAAATGGTTTCCTTGTACCCAATACTCTGTTGTGGACCTAGTGCTTTGCTGGTCTCTACGCCAGGATAATATTTTTCGAGAAATCAACCAATTTTTTCCTGATATTTTCTCCTCCACCTTTTTAAGCTGATAATTGTCTCAGAGGGAGGATGAGACAGGACAGAAAACAGAAAATATTATTCCTATTGGTTTCCAACAACCTAAATCCATTAGGAGATTTTGCTAGATGCCTCACGGGCAAATATCAAGACAGAAAAGGAGGCGCAGAGCCCCGACGGGGTGGTCCAGGTGGTTGGAGCATCGCCCTGGTGTGAAAAGATTGCCAGTTCCGTCCCTGGTCAGGGGAGTACTGGGAGCCACCGGTGGATGTTTTCCACACAGATGTCTCTCTCTCTATTCCTCTCTAAAATCAGTAAACATACCCTCAGGTGAGAATACTTTTTTAAATGTATTAAGAAAAGGAGGAGGGGAGGAAGCAGGGTTCACTCAGGGAGTGAGGAGAAGGAGAGCTGGGGAGAGCAAGACTTCTGTGAATCTCCCATAGCCCTGCTCTTACTGGGTGGCCCCTGGGAAGGCAGGGAGACCCCAGGGAGGGGTGTGGGGGGGTGTGGGGATGAAAATTCTCTCGACTCTCGTGCGCCGTGCAGAAGGAGCTCCCGGAGGGCAGGGGCACACAGGAGAAAGAGGATGTCTCACTTGCATGTGCCAACCTGGCCCTGGACCCCCTGATCCTCAGATGCAACCAAGGATATGACAACGGAATGTAACACCAGGGTGAACTGGTGGTTCGGAAACAGATTGCCTCCTCCTTCCTCAAGGGCTGGCATTACACAGGTGTCCCAAAGGAATAAAAAGGGAAACCCCAGGTTGATTGTGCCAGGCTCCAGGGATCAACAAGGAGGGCAACATTCCTCTTTGAGGAGCTTACCATCTTTACTGGCGTTCTCGTCACCTTGCGGGTGGAGAACCATCTCTGGTGGAGGGGCTTAGGGTGGGACGGGCAAGGCGAGTGGGTGCGTGGGTGGGTGCACGTTGGGTGGGGTGGGAGCCGTAGTGCTGCTTCTGCTGAGCCCGTGGGGCGGGCTGGAAGCGGCCAGCTCGGGAGGAAAGGACGGGAGTGTGAATGGAGGCGGGCGGGGGCTGGCAGAGCCCTGACCACCCTCTCCCACTCCTCCCCAGCGAGGATGTAGCGGGGGCCGGGCGGCCAGCAGGGGGCACCGGAGGACGGGCCGTGTCGCGGAGGTGGGCTCAGGATTCCGGACACCGCCCCTGCGGGAGACCCCACCCCAGCCCCCACCCCCCGCGGGGCCGGCTCCCAGACCGAGGCGGAGCGAGACGCGGCGGGCTAGGGTCGGTGGGCTGGGCGCACGGCGGAGCCCGGGAGCCGGGCGTTGCCGCCGGGGGCGCCCGCCTCGCACACAGGGTCTCAAATTAGGGTGCTGAACCTCAGGCCGAATAAGCGTGTGCACAGCGCCCAGTCGAGATCGAGGCAGGCACCCAGCCACCCTGAAGTGAACACGTAAAACATGGGACATTTATGGTAGCATGGTTTTGCATTCCTTAGCATTTTGAAATTCTGCCAACCTCGAAAGATGGAGTGTTACCCTCCGAGGGGCCTGGCTCTGCTCCTCAGCCCCCGGAATGCCTCTTCTGTCCCCAGGCCTTTTGCCCACCCCGACCCCTCCTCACAAACACACCCGTGCACCCTCTTTGCTCACCACGTGGTTCTCATCCCATCCCCCACAGGCCCCAAGCTTCTCGGTGCACCCCCAGCCCTGCCTCCGCTAACCACCTCCCTTCCTTCCCTGCTTGTCCTCTCAGCCATCTGTCGCAGGTGCAGTCGCCTCCCTCACCCTCATGCACCCCACGCATCAGGACCCTGGGAGGGAGGGCCAGGGGCACGGCTTCCTCACAAGAACACCCCCTCCAGACACCCCACATCTCAGCTATAGACACCCAGACCCTGCCTCCCAGCCTGGACGCCGGCATCTAATCAGGCCTAACTTCTCCCCCAAAGTCCTGAGCGGTCAATGCAGGAGCAGATAGGGGTCAGAGGGCAAAGCCCGAGTTCCTCTGTGGGCCAGAGAACCAGGCGACCTGTTGCTAGGTAACCAGCTCTCTGGTGGCTGCTGATCTCAGCCTCCAGCCGCCTTCCCAGGACTCTCTCAGTCACCCACCGTCTGTGGACCCCGAAAAGCGGGCAGAAGGGAGAAGCAGGAGCCCTAGCACTCCTGAGCCACCTGTGGCTCCCCGCCCACTGCTTCACTGTGACGGCCGGCGGCCCGGCCTCCCCTCCCCGCCACCATGAGTCTAGGCATCATGGAGGAGGAAGATCTGGCCGAGTACTTCCGCCTGCAGTATGGGGAGCGGCTGCTGCAACTGCTCCAGTGAGTGGCTCAGGGTCTGCGGGCCCCTCTGAGTCCGAGACCTCTCACACCTGCCCATGCCCCGCTTCCGACCCCTCCTACTCCTGTAACCCAGTGTCCCACATCATCTGCCCGGTCACGTGGGTCCCCAGCCCTTACCATCTGCTTCACCTTGCTCCACAGACATCAACCCAGCTCTCTCTCCCTCTCAACAGACCATGCCTCTTACTCAGGTGGGGGCAGGACTCCCTTCCCTCCCCACGGCCTTCTGTCTCTATGGGTTAATCCCAGGCACCTTTGCCCATGTCTTGGACAGGAAGTTTCCCCACATTGAGGAGCAGTCAGAGTCCCCATCTATCCAGCTGCTGGAGAAGAAGAAGGAGGCCAAGGTCATGCACCACGCCATGCTTCAGAAGAAGGAGGTGGGGGACTGGCGGTGGGGTGCAGAGCGGGCCACAGGGACAGCTCTTCGTTTTGTGGGTGGCGGTGGCTAGCACCAGTCCTGGGTGGTGGCTCTGTGTTCCCTCCGCAGAGACAGAAATGATCCGAGTCTTGGGGGAGCCAGTGTCCTGGGACGCTCTGCTCTGACCCAGGCCGGGCGGGCGGTGGGTGAGAGGGGGCGCGGGGGAGCGCAGGAGGCCTGGGGATCCAGACGCTTGGGCAGGGGATGCTGGGGCCTTCCTTGGTGCCCATGTCAGAGGACCCCCGACCTGTCTGCTCCCCCCACCCCAAGGCATTTCAGCATAGAATGGAGACTCTGAACCTGCGCTGGGAGGAACTGGGCATCAAGGAGGCCCGGCTGAAGGCCCACATGCAGAAGTTCGAGCAATTCATCCAGGTTAGCCTCCCCCTCCTTCTCCTCTTTCTCCTTGCTTTTGCTGACTCCTCACCCTGGATGAGATGGCTCTTCAGTGCTCATCAATGCCTGGAGCTTCTCCCTTTTTGCCCCCACTTGTTGCTGTTTGTAATTTCTTGTTTACCTGTCAGTCTCTGCTCCTTCTAGATTTCCATTTATAACTTCCCTGCCCATACCTGAGACATACAATTTATCCAATGAATGAATGAATGAGTGAGTGACTGAATGAATGAATGAGGTACGGTCAGGGCTAGGCACTTGGAGACACAAAGATGAATCACACAGGGGTTTGGTCCCCCCAGTTCATTCCACCCCTCCCTCCTAGCACTGAGGGTCTGCGGAGGGGGTGGATGAAGGACCCGGTACCAGCGACCATTCTGAGGCAGCTCCTCTCTACTGGTCCTTTGAGGAGCCATATAACCGTGTTCAGACCCAGATTTCTCCAAGAAGGAAGGGCCTGGCCCAGCTCCAGGGAGGGATCACTGGCTTCTACTGCAGGAAGCCCTGCTCTCAAGCATCTTCCGTCTTGCTCTGTGCCTAACCCAAGGGGGAAAAGAAGCTGATGCACCAGGCGTATTGCCCAGAGGTCCAGCTCTTATTGACCAGAGAAAATGATAGTGGAGTGGTTGGGGCAGCAGGAAATTTGGGGGTAAGAGGTTCTCTAAATGGCCCCTAGAGACCAGCAGCATCAGGATCTTGGAGAACTTGTTACAGATAAAAACCCCGGGACTCCTCTCTCCTTGCTTTCAGCAGGACTGAGGTTGGGCCCAGGCAACCGCATTTTTAAAGTTCCTCAGGGGATTGTGATGCTCGGCTGGACTTGACAGCCACTGATTTAGGGCCCTTCAGTTCTCTCCTGGGCTCATGGGGCACAGTGCAAACGCTCTGCGTGCCTTCCCCACACACCTCCCAGTGCCCCCACCACACGTGGCCATCCGTGGGGAGGCACAGGGGCCCCTGGAGGGGAAAGGAGCCACGCAAGTGCGTCGTGAGGGGTGGGTTCGCCCTCTAAACTTGGGGGGACGGCTTTGCAGAAGGAAGTGGGGGGGTCGGCCTAATTGCGGTAGCCGAGCCTCGTGTCTTTTCTGGGCACTGGGTTGCCAGCGCCCTCTCCTCCTGCCTGAGCCTGCAGCCAGTCCAAGATGCTTGCTGCGTGCCCCCTGGAATGGCTTTGCCTCCACACCCTCGGGAGAAGGCCCATCTCCCACCCCATCTCCCTGTGGCTTGAGCGCTGTTGCCCCAGCTTTTGGAAGGAAGAGAGAGGCTACTGCCTTTCATTTCCACAGTTGGAGAAACTGAGGCACCAACGGCCAAATCGGGAGCAAATTCAGGCCTCAGGCCTTCTGGCCCACATGGATGATCCCTGCCCATCCTCAGTGTGACCTGAGCTCTCAGACAGAGGCTCTGTGTGGGGACACCAGTAGCCGGGCCCAGGGAGGGTGGAGCGAGGGCCTGACAGACACCACCTCTTGCCCCAGGAGAATGACCAGAAACGGATCCGCGCCCTGAAGAAAGCTAACAAGGAGCGAGAACTCAAGAGGCAGCGCTTGCGCGAGCTGGCCAAGGCCAAGCAGGAGATGGCATCCCTGCGACTACAGCACCAGCAGCTGAGCAGCAAGCTGCAGGACTACTCCATCTTCAACAAGTACCTGGAGAAGGTGGTGGAGAACTCCGAGGTGAGTGGGGGCTGGGCGGGGGGCCCCGTCTCCCCGGTTCCAGGACCCCTCTGCAGGGATGGTCACCCTACTCTGAGGACACGCATCCAGCCCTGGAGGGCAGCTGGGAAAGGCCCATGGTAAGGGTTGGAGGCTGGGTGGTGTATCTTGGTGCCTGTGAGCGACAGCTGTGCAAACGTCTCTGTGTGGACAGTGTGTGGTGTGTGCTGGGGAACGAGGTTTCTTTTTGCAGCACGAACGGTGAGCTCTGCCTGCCTTAGGATGCGGCCTACTTCTGACCCTGCTTCCCCCTCCCTGGTGTTTCTGTTCACGTGAGAGTAAATAGGGAGAGGAAGAGAGAGAAACTGGAAAACACCCAACCTAATGCAGAGCTTGAGAGCTTAGTATGTGTTGGGCCCGGGGCGAAGGGCTGTACAAGTGCGACTCATTCGTCCACCCATTGGCCCCAGAGGACAGCCATCCGTCGGGCCACCGCGGAGGAGGAAATGGGGGCTCAGAGAAGTTAGGCAAACTGCCCAGGGTCTCCCAGCCTGAGCGCTTGCTTCTGACCACTCCTCTGTGAGCCCCACGATGCCACGGACAACCGCTCTTCCTAAAGCTGCCTCGTTGCCAGAGCTTCGGGAACTTCACCCTCCTCCTGCCCATGCACCCTGCAGCCCAGCTGACCCTAGAACAACACAGGTCTGAACTGTGCAGTCCACTCACACATCATTTTTTTTCAGTAGACCATTCGAGAAAACTGGCAGACAAACCATGTAGCCTAAAACCGATGACATAAACTTGCAGTGTTGATAGATACGGTACAGTACTATAAATGTATTTTCTTTTCCTCATGATTTTTATAATAACATTTCCTTCTCTCTAGCTTACTTTATTATAAAAGTATGGTCTGGGATACCTTTAACATACAAAATATGTGTTAATCAACTATTTGTGTTATCAGTAAGGCTTCCAGTCAACAATAGACTATCAGTAGCTAATTTGTTTTTTTTTTGGAGGGTGGGAGTCAGAAGTCCTATGCGGATTTCCCGCTGCCCGGGACGTCAGCGCCCCAACCCTTGCATTGTTCAAGGGTCAAGTGTATTTGACACTGTCGCCACTCCTTTACATACATCTTTCCTCTGGGACCCCTCCCTTCCTCTCCTACTTTCTTCCTCAGGCTCCCCTGGAGCCCCTCTTCCCAGCTCCTTCCTTAAATGTTCCCCAGGCATTTGGTCCAGACCCTCTACTTCTCTCCCTGATCTAGTCCCTGGGCCTCCTGTGGATGCCACCATGTCAGTGGCAATCCACGCGGCTTCCCCCGAGCCCCCATGTGACAGTGGCAGGTAGGACCCCTTACCAGGGCAGAGCGAGGCGCGGGGCGTGTCCTCTGGGCTGTGGAGCAATATCCTGCCGGGCTGTGGAGCGACAAAGGGTGCACAGCTTTTTAAAGTCCCAGCAGTTTCCACAGCGAACCACTAACCTAACTGACGTCTGCCTGAGTCCCAAATCCATGCTATTTCCTCCGCTGTAAGAAATCTGATAAATTATTCACTTAATAATTGGCTTTGGGAGGTGTTTGTTTGTTGGTTTGTTTGTTTGCTTTTGTGGGGTGAGTGAGGAAAGACTACTCTATTAAAGCAGCAGATAAATGGTAAGAAAACGACACAAATTCAGAGCTGGTAAAATGTATGTCTCAGAACTGAGGGGCCTGGCCTGTATCTCGTGGTCCTGTATGTCCCTCCTGAGCTTCAGGCCCCTGCGTCTAATTTACTGAGTCCACAAGTCCCCTCATCTGCCCCCTGCACACCCCGGGCCAGCCTGCCGCGGCGCGTCCGGTGCTGGCGCGTGGCCTGGCCGCCCACCCACGGCCTCAGCAGAACTTGAGCTTCACCCTTGAGTCTTCCTCCTTCCTCATCCTCCGAAGCCATCAGTCAGCAGACCTGGTCTATTCTGTCTCCTGAGTGTTTCTGGAATCCAGTCCCTGCCCCTTCCCCATCTGGAGTTCAGCTTTGCCTTATTCCTGGCCACCAGCCTGTCCGGCATTCTACACAGCCCATGTGACCCCCACCTCTGTCCCTTTCTCTTTCCCCTTCTTCCTTTATGTCTTTCAAAATATTTTGAGCATACCAAAAAGTATAGAGAAATAGATGATAGCGCCCAAGTACTCACCACAGCTTTGTCAAATCTTAATATTTGCCCCTATATTGCCCTCAATTCTTTTTTCTTTAATAAAACACTACAGGTAATGAAAACCCCTCTTGTACCCCCTTCCAAGCCTGTGCTTCTTCCCCTCCCCTCAGAGGTAATCGGATCTCTCATTTTCTAAGTTCTCATTCACATGCTTTGGCAACATATTACCTGTCCACAAACTATGAATAGTGTTGTACATGTCCTTTTGTGCCAGTTTTTTCTGATCAGTGTTTTTTAAAAACCTTTTTAATATGGGAAATTTTAAACAGATACAAAAATAGAGAGAACAGTCTGTTGAATGCCCATTACTCATCACCTAATTCCAACAATTATCGACTCATAGTCAAATCCCCCGAACCTCCCACCTCTGCCATTTTGCAGCAAATGATATTTTTGCATCTGTAAGTATTTCAGTATGTAACTTTTAAAGAGAAGAACTCTTTTTTAATATAGTTGCAATACATGGTCACACCTAGTAAAAATTTGATAGTAATTCCTTTATATTAAATATCCAGTTGATGTTAAAAATTCCCCCATTTTTGCACAAATGCTTTTTGGCCAATTGGTTTATTCTAATCCGGGTTCAAACAAGGCCCCACACTGCATTTGGTTCTGTTTCTCAAAGCACAGACATTATTATGCTGATCAAAATAAGCCAAACATAAAAGAGGACATACGGTTTGATTCCACTGATGTGTTTATAAACAGGTAAAATGAATCTTTGGTGACAGAAATCATCACTCTGATTTCCTTGTTAATAGGGGGCGGAAGACCCATCTAGTGCGCTGGAAACGTCCACTTCCATCCTTTCTTCACACATATTTAGGACACTACCACAGAGAAAATACCTTCATAAAGGGATTCTTCCCCTCATCCACTATTCGGTCACTACGGGGGTCTTAAAGAAGCAGCTAGATAAATGTTCGATTCTTTATTACCATTTTGAGAATGAGTTGGTTCTCCTGTGTCTTCCAAAAGTGACCTGTAATGTTGTTCTATTCATTATGAACTCATGGATTTTAACACGTTTGATATGTTTTAATCTTCTGCACTTACTCTTGCTGATGTTCAAAGTGTCCCATCTCTGGTGGGAGCCCCTTCGGGCTGGCACCTAACTTCCTTTGCCAGCAGCATTAAGTTGTGGAGAAGCGCTCGTGGCAGCTCTGGCACGGTATATTTCCACCGGCCTGCTGTTACACTGTGTGCTGAGTTGAGCTTTCAAATGTACAGACATGAAGTTCTCATTCTGTTTTTTAAAATCCTTCAGTGGATGAAGTCCACACTCCTTCTCAGGGGTTACTGGGCACTTTTTTACCCCTCCAGGTCGCTCTCTCGCTCCCCATCTTGAGCTCAGGTCAGTCACACTAACCTCTCTTGAGCTTCTTGCACATGCCACACACAGCCCAATGATTGCTACCCAGCCTGTGCCCTCCAGCAGTTCTCAACCCTAGAATCACCTGGGCGGGGGTGAGGGGGTGGTTGCAAAATGCAGGTGCCAGGGACCACGTTAGACCTGTTTATTAACCTGCCTCTCTGGGGGTTGAGCCTGCCAGGTGCCCTTCTTAAAGATCCTCCCCTGATTCCAACATGCAGTCAAAATGGAGAACCCATGGTCCAGTTGCATGTGTCCCCAACACATGGCCCATGGCCCATATCAACCCAAGAGGAGCAAGCAGCAGGACTGTAATGTCACCAGAGCCTCTGTCCCTTGACCTTGGCTTAGGGCGTCTCTGCTAGGCCAAGGAACCTAGGCCAGAAGCTGGTCGGTAGCAGGGGCAGCTGCGTTGGGCCCCTGGGGCCTCAGTGCAGTGAACCAACCCCCCCACCACAGTTTGAAGAGATCCACGAGGTGATGGCGCGCTACAAGACGCTGGTGAGCATGCACGACGACCTCATGCTGTCGGCACAGGAGGGCCAGGAGAAGATCGAGCGTGCCAAGGCGCGGCTGGCGCGCTACATGGAGGAGAAGGACGACGAGATCCTGCAGCACAACAATGAGCTGGCGCGCCTACAGATGCGCTTTGACCGCGCCCGCAGTGATGTCATCATCTGGGTGAGCAGCCGTCTGGGCAGGGGGTGTCTGCGTGTGCTGGGTGAGTGAGGGAGGGATGGACACACACACACACACACACACACACACACACACACTTGCTGTGCTCATGTCCCTCCCTCATCCTCTCCCCAGGAGTCTCGCTGGGCACACATCCAGAACACGGCAGCCAAGAAGACCCTCTTGCTTGGCACCATTAAGATGGCAACGCTGAACCTCTTCCAGACAGTGAGCAAGCAGCTGAAGGAGGCCAGCTATGTGTCCCTGGAGGACACACACAAACAGCTGGACATGGTAAGAGGAGGGGCAGGCGCCTGGTGGGCTGTGTTTACTGAACCATGAGGTTCTCGGTTGGTTGAGTGAAGGACTGAACCAGAGGCAAACATGGTTCTCAAATGTTCCCGGGATCAGAATCACGTGGGGTCTGGGAAGCACTGCTGGGCCCCCACCCCTGGAGTCTCTGAGTGAACTCTGAGCTCTGAATGAAGTGAGAACCCATGAGTTTCCGTTTTCCACAAGTCCCAGGCGATGGCTCTGGTCAGGGTTCCACATTTTGAGAACCACTGCATCAGAGCAAAGGCCCTGCTGGGCCCAGTCGACACGGACAGCAGCAGGGACCAATATTGAATTCATTGTGAGGAACAGTCTTTTTAGATCTAGTGAGTTCCCAAAGGCTTATGCCTTTCCCACTCTTTGGGGAAAGAGAACATTCGTGAGGGAGGCGGGAGGTAAATCAGCAAGTTTAGGGAACTGTTAGAGTCACATCAGTACCAATCTGAGATTTTGTCTTTGAACTAATTGAAAGGAAAAAGCTTTTTCACTGTATGACCCAAAGCTCTCCGATGCTGTGTCCATGTGCCACCTAAAATCATCTCTTTTCTGACCAAAGGCAAACACATCCCATAATTTGGGAGCCTCTGCACCAGCAGATGCATTAGCCATGCTCCTTGCGACACACAGAGAAATGTGACTATTTATTTATTCCTTTAGCAAAAGTCTTTAGCTCTGCTGTGAAATAGTAAAAGTAAGCTCCTGAAAACTGTGATGTTTGTGTTGTTCCTTGCCGTATCCCCAGTGTCTAAAACAATGCCTGCCACATAGTAGGCACTCAGTGTTTTGTGAGTGAAGATCAAACACAAGCCAAAAAGAAGCAATTGACTGAGAGGCATTTCCCCATTTAACAACAACAACAAAAGTGAAACTCATGAAATATAAAGGATTTCACCCGCTGACCAGCCAGGAAGAAGGATTTCCCTAAACCAAAAAGTCTGCCTGCTTCCTACGGCATTTAGAGTAGAATTATTGACTGTCTAAAGACTGTAAAGGGAATCTGTAAGGAAATTTGTTCTGAAGCAGGAGTTCTCAAACTTTTTGATATCAGGATACATTTATACTCTTTAAATTTATTGAAAACCTTCTAAGAGCTTCTGTTTATATTGGATATTGATATTTACCATATTAGAAACTCAAACAGAAAAATTAAAAATACTTAATTCATGTCCTAGCTAGTGTGGTTCAATTGTTTGGAGCATTGTGCCATACATCAAGAAGCTGGAGGTTCATTTCCCGGTCAGGGCACATGCCTAGGTTGCTGGTTCGATCCCCGGTTGGGGCATGAATAGGAAAGAGGCAACCAATCGATGTTTTTCTCTCTCCCTTCCTCTTTCTCTAAAATCCATAAATATTTTTAAAAATTTTTAAATGCTTAATTTAATCACTTTAAAATGACAAGAAGCAAATGAACATAAATAGCATTTTTAATGAAAAATACATTTTCAAAAGATATATTTTGTGGGAATGAGTGGCGTTAGTTGACACTTTTATAAATTCCCTTAATGTCTGGCTTCACAGAGGACAGGTGGGTCCTCATAGTGGCTTTTGCATCCGTCCTGTTGTGACAGCCCATGTCATCAAAATATTCTACGCCGGTAAAAGCTGCTGTACATTCGTGAGAGAAAAAGAGACGGGTAATAGACTAATAATTAACAAATAGACAAATAGACAAATAATAAGCAGAGTTCTGGCCTTGCAGCCCCTCCCCCCAGCAGCGGGGTCTCAGGGACCCCCGGCGGTCCTCGGGCCCCTTTCCTTTGGCAGTTGTAAAGAAAGACGGGGCAGGAGTGGGTGCTCTCTAGAGCTCCCTGCCCCTGCCTGAGCGTTCCCTGCGTGATCATAGCTTCCAGTTCATCCACTCCAATTGCAGGGCTTTCTGACTCCTTTTCAACTTTGATTTGCCTCTATAGGAATACTTAATATACCCCAGTGTTATTTTTAAATAACCCACTTCAGCCTTATCCAATGCTCCACTGGTTGGAGCATTGACCCGTTACACTGAAAAGGTTGCAGGTTCGATTCCCAGTTGGGACTCATGCAGGAGGCAACCAGTCGATGTTTCTCTCTCTCTAAAACCTATAAACATATTCCCACAGGATATGAGCCTACTGAGAGAAATACACATGGTCAAGTATCCTGAAACATTAAAAATAAGGACCAGGAAAAGTATAAGTTAAAATCAGAGGTCAAGGCAAGAGAGAGAAATAAAGACTGTAGATTCTTGTCTTATAAAGGACAGAGGTTGGCTCTGAGCTTCCTGGTAAGCAGATGGAAAAGCAACACACAGTTCAGGTACCAAAATAAGAAAACGTAAGTTTTTCCTCAGAGAAAGCAAACCTTTTCCAGCACTCTAACTGAAATTTCTCAAGGAGGCTTCAGAGGTCCTCAGGGAACAATGCTGTCAACAAATCCTTACAACAGATCCAAGGCTGGGCTACGGAAGCGACTCACCGAGAAACAGGAGCATGGCATCAGAGTACAGCTTAGGAAAGCCATTCTGCGAAAGGCCAAGACAGTTTGAATTCCATGTGCTGTGTCGTGAAAGGTCCAGCATTGTCCCTGAGGAAAGCCCAAACTGGAGCAGCACTTCTCAACCTGGGCTTGCAAAATCCTGGAGTCCCAAGGTGCTAGTAAGTTTCCTGTGGGGAAATAAAAGGACTCTATGGACTAGCAAGTTTAAAAAACGCTAAAGTTCAACAAGTTCAGATGGTTTTTAAATCTGGGACTTCACAGAGTCTTTGCTATGGTTTTATCCTGAGACTCTCTAAGCATTCTCTAAGATTTAATATAATGTATCTTTTTAACATTTCTGAAGCTTGACCACTGAATCCTTTTTTGGAGGTATGTGATTACTCATTATAAGAACGTAGTTTGGGAAATGCTGGACTTGTCTTCTCTGTAACCTTGGGAAAGTTACTTCAATTTATTGACTCTGTTTCCTCTTTTGCAAAATAGGAATCATATCAATAATGGCACCAGTATTTGCTACTAACAGTTGTTCAGAGTTTTGGACAGTCGGTGTAGTCCTGTCTCCGGGAGCGTTCTTGAAAAGGAGAAATTTTAGGATTGCGATTTTTGAGGTTATCTAGGCCAACCTTCCCTCCCTCTTCCCTTTTTAAAGACAAAGAAACTGAGTCCCAGAAAGATGAACGATTTCCCCAGAGCTGCTTCAGAACCCCAGGTTTTCTGACTTGTAAGGCATCACCCTTTCCGCGGTCATACTGATTTCATGTTCTTTAAAAGGGAAGCTAGTGAGTAGAATTTAAACTTCCTCGATGCCTCAAGAGTAGCCCAATGAGCATCAGTTCTGGCTCTCAGGGAAAGAACCACTTTAAAGGCTGTTAAACTGTGGGGAGCCGCCTGCCCCGGCCCTGGCTGGGCCCGGTCTGCCCAAGGCCCTCCCTCTCTCTTCCCTTCGGTTAGCCTGCCAGCCTGTACTTCTTCCCAACACGGCATCTGCTTCCAGGACTTCTAACGCCATTGCTATTTACAGCTTTTCATCTACTAAGCCCAATCCTCCATTTCAACTAGAATAATTGTCAAATGAGGGGAAGTGGCTTCAAGACGTTAATCTCAGGAAAATGGTGATTCCTTACAGGTGACGCCTGGGCGTGCTCTGCTTTTGGACGGGATGGCCCGTCACTGGGTAGGGTTTACTCTCATCTCCCTGCCTTGTTAGATCCAGCAGTTTATCCAGGACCTGTCAGACATCTGGGCAGAGGTAAAGAAGAAGGAGCAACAGCAGATCCGGGTTTAAGGAGCAGCCATGAACAGAGACGGAGAGAGAATAAGCTCCTGGCGAGCTTGCAGCCCAGTTGTCCCGGCCAGCCCTCTGCGTCCCTGTGCCTTTTTGCTGGCGGACACCCTGCCATACTTCCCCTTGGGCTTCAGTCCATCCCGTCCCTGAAAACATTAAATTCTATAAGAAGTTTGTTCCTAGGTTTGTTTGTTTGTTTGTTTGTTTGTTTGTTTTTTGGTTATTTATTTAACGGGAAGAGGATCCATTGAGGAAAGAACCCCCCAGAGCGCCCCCTCTTGAAGCTGGTCACTTAGGCTGCCCACGGTCTAGAAATCAAATCTCAGCTCGAGTGTCTTCTAGGCTTTGGACTTGCACACAGTAAGTATCCGTACGGGCAACAGACCAGCAGGATAAGTACATGGGACCATTTTTTTTTCCCTCTATCACTTCAAAAAATTTTTTTAAGTTGGTATTTCTGATTGGGGTGCAGACGCTCACTAGAAACTATGAAGGCGGCTTCCCAAATCAGAGTTCCGCCTCTTCCCTGACCTCAGGGGCAAGCCCTGCCCCCCACCCTCTGTGAACCCTGAAGTTCCAACATGGTACCAGCAACGCTACCGCAGGAATAGCAGGCAGGCCGCCATGACAGCGTCTTCACAGGCTGGGACGATGGCTTCAAAGCCGCAAAACTAAACTGAGAACAGGTAAATGTGGAGTCTTACTCTTAGGGTCGAAACCTCAATGGCAAAAGTCAGGCTGGAGATGGACAAAGGAAGCAGCATTTATTGAGCATACTTTTTTTTTAACTTTTTTAAAATCATGTTTATTCTATTACAGCTGTCTCCATTTCTCCCCCTTTACCCCCCTCCACCCATCCCACCCCACCCCCCACTCCCACAGTCAATTCCCACTCTGCTGTCCATGTCCACAGGTCATTCATACATGTCCTTTGTGTAGTTCCTTCTCCTTTTTTCCACCATTGTCGTCCTTCCCCATCCTTTCTGGTCACTTTCAGGCCGCTCCATGTTCCCATGCCTGTGGTTTATTTTGTTCGTTAGTTTATTTTGGTGAATAGATTCCACTTATAGGTGAGATCATATGATATTTGTCTTTCACTGACTGGCCTATTTTCACTCAGCACACTATTCTCCAGTTCTATCAATGTTGTCGCAAAAGGCAGGAGTTCCTTCTTTCTTTCTTTCTTTCCTTTTTTTTTTAATGCAGATTGCTTTTATTTATTTTTTTAAATGTCAAGATTAATTATAAAATATTAAAAAGTTTAAAGCCATTATAAAGTCTCAGCAATTAAAATATGACACCTGCACAGAAATAATCAAATAGATAAATGAAATAAAATGAGCATTCTAGAAACAAATGTATATATCTGTCTAACAATGTAATGTATGATTACATTTATATTTCAAATCAATGGGGAAAATAAGGCTTATTCAACATATATGATGCATGGATCACTATTACTTGAAATAAAACAAATATAGAGCCCTATTTCACATATTATACAACAAATATTCAGGTGATTTAAAAATCAATATGTAAAATCTAAGGAATTTTAGAAGAAAATACAAAATAATCTTTTTCTTACCCTGAAGTAACATATTCAAACATAGAAGCTATAAAGTAAAATATTGACAATATGACTATATTAAACATTTAAGACTATACAGTAATAGTAATGTAAAAAAAAGTTAAAGGACAAGTAATAGAATAAGAAAGTATTTGCAGCACATCTATAAAAGGGTTAATAGTTGTTGTTTTTTTTTTTTTAGGGAAAAAATTCTACAAACATTTAATCAAAAAATGGATAAAGAATACCAAAAAGTCATTTAAAGTTTTTTTTAATAAATAATAAAAATAGGCAAGAAACATACAAAAACAGGTTTAGTTTCAACAAATACTAAAGTAACAATTAAAATAACACATCATTGTCACAATCAGATTAATAAGTATTAAAAATATTGGTAATATCAAGTATTGGTGCCTGGGAAAGGAACTCGGTATTCATAGATTCTTTTTCTTCTTAAAGCACTCCCGTTGACATATTTTGCAATGCTGGTTTGGTGGAGGTGTATTCTTTTAGCCTTCTTTTGTCTGGGAAACTCCTTATTTTGCCTTCCATTTTAATTGTGAGCCTTGCTAGGTAGAGCAGTTTTGGTTGCAGGCCTTTGCTTTTCATTCCTTGGAATATTTCTTGCCACTCCCTTCTGGCTTGCAGTGTTTCTGTTGAGAAGTCAGATGCTAGCCGTATTGGGGCTCCCTTATATGTTACTAACTCTTTCTCCCTTGCTTCCTTTAGGATTGTCTGTTTGTCTTTGATATTTGTCATTTTAATGATGATGTGTCTTGAAGTGGGCCTCATTGGGTTCCTCTTGAATGGGACCCTCTGTGCTTTCTGGACTTGTGAGACTTTTTCTCTCCTCCAATTAGGGAACTTTTCCATCATTGCTTTTTTAAAAACAGGCCACGTGGGCTCTAAGTGGCCTTCCAGGTCACTCAGACGCTTGCTCCTTTTTGAGAACCACTGCTGTGGAGTGAACCAAACCTGAGCTCCTTCCATCTCCACCATGTGAAGTAATACCTGTCAGTAATGACCTGTCTCAGGCAGAGAGGCAGGACCACAGAAGACCTTTGCCCCCTGTCTTCCTTTAGGATTGTCTGTTTGGCCAAACCTGGAGGGCCACTTAAAGCCCACATGCCTGGGGCCCACCCAGAGTTTCTGATTTTCAGGTCTGGGGTGGGGCCTGAGAATTTGCATTTCTTTCTTTCTTTCCTCCCTTCCTTTTTTTTTGATTTTATTTACTTATTTTTAGAGAGAGGGGAAGGGAGGGAGAAAGACAGGGGGCAAAGGGCGCTCTTACCGGGGCTGAGCTGGACAGTGGTGGGCGCTGGTTAAGCACGCTCCACAAAGCTGTCGTCTTCACATCTGGTGCTAGACCTTGAAGCCCACACGGGGAGGTAGTAGGGAAAGAAATATGGGCATAAAGTAGGGGAGATCAAGGGTGAGTCAGAATCCAGACACACAGCTGGGGACAGAGAGAAACCCATGGCAGTTCTTGGTGGTATACGTGTCCTACAAAAGCCAGGAACCTTCATCTTTATTTTTTTTTTAACCCTCATCTGAGGCTATATTTTTAGTGATTTTAGAGAGATAGGGGGAGAGAGAAAGAGAAAGAGAAATGTGGATATGAGAGAGAAACGTTGATTGGTTACCTCCTGTATGCGCCCCGACTGAGGATCAAACCTGCAACCTAGGTATGTGACCTGACCAGGGATCGAACCCATGCGTTTGGGATACAGCACAACGCTTCAACTGAGCCACCTGGCCAGGGCAGGACCCTTCGTCCTGAAGCTGAGCACACGCCTCAGGCCCAGGAACTGGAGTGGCTGGAGGAAGATCAGGGAAGATTGCAGGGGGGAGGCGATGAGGCAGAGCAGCAACAGAATGTACAAGCCACAGAGTGGCCGCCACCTCACTCCCACCTTCCAAACCTGAGTTTCTGTGAGCCGCCTCCACCCTCTCCATGGAAACACCCAGGGAAACGACTTCTGGGAAATAGAGTTCAGCTTAGTCAAGTTGCCCCTCCCTAGCTTCCATACCACCATTATCTCTGTTTCACAGGTGAGGAAGAGGAGGGGCTTGGAGCTGGCTGGTTGGGGCCAAAGGGATGTCTCTCTCAAGGGGGTGTGAGGACAGGAGAGTTCTAGGGGTGGTGCTCAGGGGAATGGGTAGAGTCCCTCACTGGAAGGAGAGAGAGGGCAGGGCCTTTCAGAAATATGTTTGTGGGTGAAGGACATGCCTCTAAAATAGCTCCCCCTTGCCTCTGAGCCCTGGGCTGCGTCCTGACATGCAGGAGAGGGTGCAGGGCAGACGCCGCCCCAGCCCCCAGCGTGCACACCCCCACTCTCCTGCTATATCTGTGAAGTGGTGTTTGGGAAGTCCAACCTGGAAAGGCTGAACGCGCCTCCTGGGAGGCCCGGGGCCCCCTCCTCCACCCCCTCCTCAGCCCTGCACTGAGAGACCCTCTCCCTCCGCTCCCCTGCTCTCCTGCCAGCCCCCCTGCTTGAGTGTCAAGTTTCCTGCTGGATGGAAATGGGAGTTGTGAAGACTCACACATAGAGTTCTTATGATCACACACAAGTTTATCTTATCCCACATGTGTTTACAAATGTGTATAACTCCCTTGGATACTGCTGCATTTTTCAAGTTCCAAAAGGAGCCCAGGCCTGGGGCAGAAGAAATTCTGTGGGTCTAGGCAAATTTCTTTGATGACAAGCAAAGCCACAAATCCACAGACTCCTTCCCAAGCCCACAGAACAGGGCAGAGCCAACGCAGAAGGCCAAGGGTTCTCATAAGCCTGAGCGAGCGGGCTTCCCATGGGGAGTCGGGGCGGTGGCGGTCACAGGCAGACCCTCTCCTGCTCCCCGGTCCCTCAGCACAACCACCCGGGCCCTGGACCCGTGGAAAGGGAAGCCTGAGGCTGCCCAGTCAAGGGAGACTTTGGCCCCAGGTGCATGCAGTCACGTCCCAAGAAAAAGAAGATAGAATCAAGAGCCGGTTGGAGTTTTCCCAGCAAGAAGAGGCACCAACTCATTAAAGCAGAAAATAACGGATTGGTTCTAGAAATGAATGGTTCTCATCAGCACAGATAGGAAGTAGGGCTCCGGGTGTTTTATGAGTAAAGAGAGGCAAGACCTGCAGACACATACTGTCAATGCAAAAACACTCCATTCCCTCACAAACCTGTTAGCTCTTCCTGACAGAAAGGAGGAGAGGAAGGGAGGAAGGAAAAGAGAGGAGGGGTACAGCCTCAAGGTGTGAATTTCCATGTTTGTCACCCAGGCCACGCCATAAACACAGCCCCCAAAGAGCAATGGATGTCCAAAAGCTGCTGGTGAGGACAGGATTAGCACACAATGCTGAAAGCTTTGTGGAGTGATCTCTGTCTGTCTGGAGTAGCTAAAGGGCCCATGCTTCTGCAGGATAAGCTATTGGCCTTTG